TTTCTTTTCTTTCTCTTGTCTAATTGCTGCAGCTAATGTTTCCAGAACTATATTGAACAGGAGTGGTGGTAGTAGACATCCTTGTCTTATTCCTGATTTTAGCATGAAAACTTTCAGTTTTTGACCATTTAGTATGATGTTGGTGATTGATTTTTCATAGATAGCCTTTTTCAGATTGAAATAAAGACCATCTATTCCAATTTTCTGTAGGGTTTTTTTTTTTCTTTTAGCATGAATGGGTGTTGGATTTTGTCAGATGCTTTTTCTGTATCTATTGAGATTATCATATTTTTTTGTCCTTGCCTCTATTAATATAGTGTATTACATTTATTGATTTATGTATGTTGAACCATCCTTGCATCCCTGGGATGAATCCCAATTGGTCAGGGTGTATGATCTTCTTGATGATCCTCTGTATTCTGTTTGCCAGTATCTTATTGAGGATTTTTGCATCTATGTTCATTAGGGAGCTTTCCCTGAAGTTCTCTTTTTTGGTTGGGTTTCTCTCTGCTTTTGGAATCAAGATAATGCTTGCTTCCAGGAATGAATTTGGGAGTATAGCTTCCTTTTCAATTTCATTAAAGAGTTTGAGAAGTAGTGGCATTAGCTCTTCCCAAATTCTTGTAGAATTCAGTAGTGATGCCATCTGGATCTGGACTTTTCTTTGTTGGTAAATTTTTAATTACATTTTTCAATTTCATTGATTGATATTGGGGTGTTTAGAATTTGTAGGTCTTCTTCATTCAACTTTGGTAATTCATATATATTAGGAATCTGTCTATTTCTTCAGTGCCTTCCATTTTATTTGAGTATAGGTTCTGGAAGTAGATATTGATGATCCTCTGGATTTCTGCTAGATCTGCTGTGATTTCACCCTATTCATTTCTAATTGTATGAATTTGAGCTTTTTCTTTCATTTTTTTGATAAGGTTGGCTAAGGGTTTGTTGATTTTATTTGTTCTTTCAAAGAACCAACTCTTTGATTCATTGATTTTTTGAATCATTCTCTTAGTTTCCATTTCACTGATTTTTGCTCTGATCTTTATAATTTCCTCACTTCTATGAGCTTTGGGTTTGTCTTGCTCTTCTTTTTCTAGGAACTTGAGGTTCAGCATTAGATTGTTTATTTGAGTTTGCTCTGTTTCCCTAGTATGGACATTCACTGGTATGAATTTCCCTCATAAGACTGCTTTCATTGTGTCCCATAGTTCCTGTATGTTGTATTGACATTATCATTTACTTGTAGAAACTGTCTAATTTCTTTTTAAATTTCCTCTTTGACCCATTGGTTGTTTAGGAGAATGTTATTCAATTTCCATGTGTTTGTGAAGTTCTTGCTGTTTCTTATGTTATTGGTCTCCAGTTTAATTGCACTATGGTCTGATAATATACAGGGGACAACTTCAATTCCTTTGCATTTACTTAAACATGTTCTATGAGCTAGCATGTGGCCTATTTTGGAGAATTAGAATCCCGCGTGCAGCTGAAAAGAATGTTTATTCTGATTTTGTGGGGTGGAACATTCTGTAAACATCTATTAAATTCATTTGTTCAAGAGTTTGATTGAGTTCTAGTATTTTGTTTATTTTTTTGTCTAGTTGATCTGTCTATTTGTGACAGTGGGGAATTAGATTCCCCACTACAATTGTATTAATGCTTATTTGATTTTTCATGTCTGTTAGTATTTGTTTTATATAGATGGGTGCACTAGTGTTTGTTGCATATATGTTTATGATTGTAATCTCTTCCTCTTGGATTGTTCCCTTTACAAGGATGTAGTGACTTTCTTTGTCTCTCTTAATTAGTTTTGGTTTGAAATCTACCTTGTCTGCAAATAAAATAGCTACCCCTGCTTTTTTCCAGGTTCCTGTGTCATGGAGAATTGTTTTCTATCCTTTTACTTTCAGTCTATGAATTTCTTTTTTAATTAAGAGTTTCTTGTTTACAGTGTATTGCTGGATTTTGCTTCTTAATCCATTCTGCCGGTCTATTTTTTTGGATTGGTCAAGTGAGGACATTAGCCTTGATGGTAATAATTGATATGTATTGACTTATCCATGTCATGATATTTTCCTGTTGTTGGCTCTTTTATTTTTTATTTTTCTCCCTTTCTCTTTGTTTTTTGCCTTGCCTCATGGCTTCACTCTGTTGGGCCTCATGGAGTTGTGACCCTCATTGTCTTTTTCTAGGATATTGTTTAGAATTGGTTGGAGTGTTGGTTTGGTATTCATGAAGTTTCTCAGGTGTTGTTTGTTGTGGAAGCATCTAATTTCCCTATTGATTTTAAAAGATAATTTTGCAGGACCCAGCAATCTAGGTTGGAGGTTATTTTCTTTTAGGACTTGAAATACTTGACTCCAGACTCTCCTTGAGTAGAGGGTTTATGTTGAAAAGTCTGCTGTGAGTCTGATGGGCTTTCCTTTGTATGTGATTTGTTTCTTTTCTCTAACTGCTTGTAGGATTTTGTTCTTCTGTTGGGTTTCTGGGATCTTGACTATTATGTTTAGGTGTATATTTTTTTTATCATGGCTAGTTGGAGTCCTATATGCCTCATTTATTTGTATGTCAAATTCTTTTCCACTGCTTGGGAAGTTTTCTGCCATTACTTCTGTGAAGAGTTTTTTTTTTTTTTATGTCATTTGCACTTTCTTCTGCTTGTTCATGGACTCCTATCAGTCTTATATTATTCATCTTTGCATCATCTAGCAGCTGCTGGATTGATTTCTCATGGTCCCTTACTATTTTTAAGAGATCTGTCTTTTTATGGTCAGTAACCACAATCCTGTCTTTTGTATCTGATATTCTATCTTCACATTGGCTCATTCTGTTGCAAATACTTTTTAATCTCCTGGATATCTGTTCAACTTGTGTCATGGATTTCATTTCTTTTCTATGCTGGGCATTCATGGCTTCCATCATGGTCCTGAGCTCATCTTTTTTTTTTTTTTTAATCTGTTTCTGTTCTAGAGTCTCTAATCATGTCTTCATTCTGCTTACCATCTTTGTAGTTATCTGTGAAATTATTTCTGTTTTAAATTTTTCTAGAGTCTTGTTCATCTGTTTTTTAACTTCCCATGCTATCAGTTCAGGGTGTCCAGGTGGTTGATTATCAGATTTGTCCACTTTGTTGCCCCCAGAATTTGCCTGTGGTGATCTGGAATCTGGGTTTGTCCCTTGTTTGTGTCACTTCTATTCTTCTCATTTCTATTTTTGTTGTTGGTGCTGTTTTTAGTTTAATTACTGGGCTGATACTTCAAAATTGCTTATTGTGAGTATCTTTATTGCTTATATTTAAACCCTTATAGAATGATTGCTTATCAGAGGAGTCTTCCACATATGGTTGGTCTTTAGGCTTTGAGCCTCTAATGACTCTTAGGTGATCTCATTTTCAGTATACCAGGGAGGATAACTGATTAGATCAATCACAACACTTTAGCCCAAGTGATACAATCAGCATCAACAATAGCATCAAATGCAACTTAGAAAATGACAATTTGTGGTAACTATTAATCTGTCACCTTTAATCTCATGAGCTACATCAAAAATCGATGACTAGCCCAAAATATGTTTGTAATAAATAAACCCTTCATTATAGCAAATTTACCCTTTGGGATGAGGACTTAGAAGGAGTTGGGGAGGGAGGGATAGAGAGATAGAAGGAGAAGAAAAGGTTAGAAGTGAGGCTAGAGGACACAGGAAGGTCACACAAATTTTGGGAAATTGTTGAAGACAAGAGGAAAAGACAGAATGAAGGAACAAAGACAAGAACAGAACAAACT